GCAACCAGTCCGCTGGTTTTTTTCTCTCATATCAATGTTTCTCTCTCTCTCTCTCTCTCTCTCTCTCTCTCTCTCTCTCTCTCTCTCCTCTCTTCCACTCTCTGAAGAGCAATTTTTTTTCTTTGCTAGCCGGTTTGCTCAGTGAATAGAGCGTCAGCCTAGAGGCCAAGTCCCCAGTAGGTGGCGTGTAGGAGACAGCTGATCAATGATTCTCTGTCATCATTGATGTTTCTCTCTCTCTCTCTCTATCCCTCTCCCTCTCTCTCTGATATTAATAATTTGGGTCGATTCCAGTCAAGGGCACATGCCCCGGTTGTGGGCTCGATCCCCAGTAGGGGGCGTGCAGGAGGCAGCCGATCAACGATTCTCTCTCATCACTGATGTTTCTACCTCTCCCTCCCTCTCCCTACACACACACACACACTCTGGTGAGAATTAACAAAAAAATGTGAAATTGTAAGTACAGCCATCTAAAAAGGGAGAAAGGGTGGGAGGGAAGGAGGGAGGATAAACAACTTGGAGGTAACAAAAAATATACAAGGCAAAGAAAACTAAAACACACACATAATACATATATCAGAGGTAGAAGACAGTGATTCCACACAGTAAAAATAGGTGTAAAAAAAGAAGGGATTTATGAATTTGGTTTCGCACCAAATATTAGGATTGCTGAAGAAGAAACACAGGAGGCCAAAAGGGGTACAGAATTATAAATGTATTAGGTCACCTGGATAACCAAATGGCTTGAGCTCCAAAATGGCACCAGCACGCAGGCATGGGGAGTTAGAGATTTTAAAGGAATTGGCTTTTTCTGGGTGGAGAATTCTCTGGGCCGGTCCTGAGGGGAAAGATAATGGTCTTAGCAAGTGGGATGTTGTCTTAGCAAGTGGAATGTTGTCTTAGCAAGTGGAATGTGGTCTAAGCTAAAGGGAATGTAGGTTGTGAAGTGGTCTAAAGGTCAGTTCCCAAGGGAGGGGGTGTGGATTAATTTATTTGATCAGACTTAACATATACTATAATACAATTATGTGAAATATATTTCATATGGACAGTGAACAAAGGAAATATACACAGAAAATATATTTTGTTACAATGAGGACATGTATTTTTAAATGTATTTTAAATTATCCTTATTATGTATGTAAATTAAGATTAAAAATCTTTGCTCACCCTTCCAACACCCCCAAGTACCTGCAGAATAAAGTCCAAACTTTCCAAATCCTATAATGCCTCCCCACAACCTTAAGACCTTATAGGATTCTAAACAGGAAGTTTTAGTTTGTTCTGCCTGCTCAACTGCCATTTCCTGACTCTACTCTCCACCCAACCGCATTCCAACCAGACCAACCACCTTCCCCCAGAGTTGTCTTGAGGTGCCCTCAAGCTTCCAGCAACTATTTCCACCCTACCCCCAATTTCTTCCCCCCTGCACATGAAACCATGGTAATGCTAGGGGCAAAAATTGAATATTGGAGACTAGCTATAATAATAAGAAATGTTAATCGTGCTATGTTAACCATGATTGTTTTGTTCTGATTAAAGAATGCACATTCCAACCTGGCTGGGAGGGGGACCTGGGAGCTCACCTGGAAATTCAGCCCATTCTCTACATCTGGGAGCTGCCAGTTATCATGGAAAGATTAACAACCAGAGGCACCAGCCCTTTGCATACCCCAAGGCTTTGGCAAACCCCAGCCCACATTGCCTGTAAACTGCCCACTTTGCATGCCCATTCTTACCTCTTTTGCCTATTCCCCCCCGTGTAATCTTTGTCCTTCTACCCAATATAAACAGCTGGCTGATGGGGAGCAGGGATAGCAGATTTTGTGGATGACCTGCTGCTCTCCCATACTGCTTGCATTATTGGAATAAACACTCCTATATGATTCAATGCTGCCTCTGCTTAATTGTCTCAAGTAATGACAGGCAGCCCAGAGCCATTGATTGTCTGGTCTCAGTGATGCTTATCAATGAGCTATAGTTGAGTTATCACTTGGTTTAGGAGCCTTTTCTCAGAGTAGAGAAACTATAATCCTGGGGCCTGGCCACACACAGTAGTCCCTTTAAGCTTTGTTCAACGTTAAGGGAGGCTGGGTAGGACAGTAACTGAAATGTCTCCTCTTTCAGGAAGCCTTCCTGATTTCTCTACCACCACCACCACCCCAGGAGCAGATAAATTCTCCTTTGTTCGATCATCATAGCACTTATGTGGCTCCCTCGAGTGAATCACTTTTCCTCTCTAACTCAGTTTCCTCACCTGTAAAATGAAGGCAATAATGATACTTATCTCACCAGGTTACCGTGAGGATTAAATCAGGATATGTTTACAACACCCCATGTCAAGCTCATGCTAAATACCCAATAAAAGGAAGCCGTTGTGGTCATTATTTTGACACCTTAATATGACATTTGTCTTACTTGTCTCATATTGCACCATGTACATATTTCACCTCCCCAATTAGATTGCAAACTCTCTGTGGGCAGGGAGCATATCTTGTTTATCTTTGTATATTCCATAGTGCATGGCACACTGTCTGTCCACGGTAGGCTTTTAACAAATCATTCTTGAATGTGCACAACAAGCACACTCAGAGGCCATGCGCATGTGTAGGTGTGTGCATACACTCAGGGCACACCTATGCCAATACATTTTTCTGTCCTCATCTTGGCTGACATTCTGGTCTGTAGCATTCCACATCACTGGTCATTCTCCAGCCATGACTCCTGTGATCTCTCTCTTGGATTTCCACCTACCCCTCTGGCAACTACTTCAGACTCCTTCAAGCCCCAACCCCTCCCCCATGTGCCCTTAAATGTCTGTGTTCCCCATAGTGCCATCTCAGCCCTGTTCTTCTCCCTTTGGACACTGTTGAGTGACCTCGTCTAAACCATAGATTCACACGGGAAATGTATGAAAAAGTCACCAGCCTAGCCCTCCCTCCTGACCTCTAGACCTACAAAACCTGAGCGGCATCCTGCCCTCCTTCCTGCACCTCCCTCCCAGGCTGATCACAAGTCCCATGGCTTCTTTTGCCTTGCACCGTACCAGGGTCAGCTCAGACTCCCTCCCCCCACCCCCCCCATTTTTCACTTGGGCCCTGTACTCAGGCTCTCCTCTGTTCTCTCAGCTGCTGCGAGTGT